AGAATTGATGGCTTTGATCTGTGGTGTGGAGAAGAATACTGAGTATATCATGGACCGTTAGGAGAACAAACAGGTTCATCCTAGAGAGGGTGAAACCAGGCTGCTCATTGGAGGCAACGATTTTGAAGCTTTATCTGACATACTTTGGGCATATGGTAAGAAGGGACCACTCCTTGGAGAGGGATGTCATGCTTGGGAGGGTACAGGGACAGCACAGGAGAGGAAGACTCTCGATGAGATGGATTGATTCAGTGACTGGGGTAATGAGGGTAGGTGTGCCAGAGACAATAAGATTGGCACAGGATAGAGCAGGGTTTAGGGCTGTTGTACACAGGGTTGCTATGAGTCGCAAGCAACTTGATGGCACATAACAACAACAACAACAACAACATGAATCACATAGGGGGAGAATGGTCACCTTTCTCCTATAGAGCCATGGATGGATTCAAATTGCTTTTGTGGTTAGCAGTGTAACTACCAGAGGAATGGCTTTTAACAAATATAAAAACTTACAAATTTAAATAAAAGACTGGACGTGCATATATTAAAAAGTAAAGAGAAGGAAAAAAAAAGACTGTCATTGTGAGGCGCCATTGACCAGCTCCAGGGCACAGTGATGTAGACATGACAGAATCAAGCTGCTTGGCCCTGGACAATCGCACAATCACGGCCATGCCTGAGCCGACTGTGGCTGCCACTCTGTCATCCAGCTCCCTGAGTCTGCCTCTTCTCCCCCATCTTCTACTTTACCAAGCATCATGTCCTTCTCCAGAACGTGAAATAAAAGCAGTGCTCTCTAGTTATCCTTCAAATTTTATAATAATGGTTGTATGCAGCATTCGTCCTTAATAGACTGAGTTGGTTCACACAGTATACTGCTTTCTAGCTTCTCTCATATTACACAGCATTTTTTAAAATCATTGCTCCTGAATGCTGCATAGTATTCTTAATGTACTAAAATTTCTTCCCACCCTTCCCCTCCTTTATTGTCTACCATTGAATCAGATCCAACTGGCACACAAGATTGCCCCTGCTTCTCCAGTGGGGCATCTGGTAGATTCGAACCACGCACCTTTGGCATTGCAGTGAAGTTTCTTGTCATTGGGCCACCAGAGCTCCCTAATGTACCACAATTTCTCAATCCATTTGTTTGTTGATGGACATTTGGGCTGTTAAGATGTGTATAAAAATCCAAAGGGGGCACAGGGGAATTAAGGGTGGAGGGAGGGGGAAATCACAGGGTCATACGAGTTTGGAGGGTGGAGGGAAGGAAGGGGCAAAAGACTTGGGAGGGATCCAGGGGGGACTTGAAAAGATGGGCTGATAATAGTGATTGGTTTTAGAAAACAGAATGGATAGATTGATTGTATTAAACACAGTATGATTGAAGGAATGTGTGAAACAGAATGTATATGAATGAAACACAGCATGTATGAATTCTGCATGCAAACCAATAGAAAATTTAAAAAAAATAGGTAAAAACAAAACAGACAAAAGCCAGGGCTCTACCTTTACTCCTCTTCCTCAGGGCAACCGTGCCCACCTCTTACAGCTCTTCCTTCCAGTTTTTACTTCACATTTCTAAGCAATTTGGTTTTACTTCTGCTTTTGACTGTCTCATTTCAGAATGTATTGACTCTTACTATCTCTCCTCATTGCCACTGAGTCATAGACAACTCAGAGCTGACCCTTCCCTGGTTTTGCAGAGGCTTTCAATCACATGAGAGGAAAGTGCTCATTTGTCTCCTTAGGAGTTGGGGGTGGCTTTGAAGCCCTTGCCTTTGGGTTGACTGAACCACTCCTCACCAGCTCACTGGGCTCCAATTACTGTTAGAGTCCTGTTTACAGGTAGAACAATATTCCTTGTTTACACAGTTACACACACACACACACACAGAGAGAGAGAGAGAAAAAACAATTGCTGTCAGGTTAGATCCAACTTCTGGGAACCTATGGTGTCTGCAGAGACCTGCAGTCCCCTTTCAACAGCTGTGCCCTTTCAGAAGGAGATCTTTGGGGCCTTTCTTCCAAGACATTCTCAGTGGACTTGAACATCCAACCTTTTGATTAGCACATAACACATTAGGTTTTTATACACAGAGCCTCCTTATTACCACACTTCACAGGAACTCCAGGGGTGAAATGGGTTAGTACACAGTATCTACGCAGAAACAGTCCCTCCATTCCCTCCCCGGACTGAGAGGTCTAGCTGGGGCCTGTGTGAGAGCCAATCTAGACAGGTGGCGTGAGAGTGGACATACTGGATGAACAGCTTGTCAGTGACTCTCCCTACTTGTAATACAGCGGCTCCAGCCGTTGCTGGATTGTGTATCCCTAAAGTCACACTTTCTCTGATTTGCCTTCTCCAGGAAGCAATTTTCAGGACATTTTCTGGAGTGAAGGAGGCAGCGATGCCTGACTTGGGAAGAGATGAGCAGTCCTGTTGGACAATGTCAAGTTGATCTGGAGCCAAAGTGATATCATTTGATAGGGTGAAACTACCCCAAAGGGATTTCTAGGCTGTCATCTCTATGGGATTGGATCACTGGGTCGTTCTCCCATAGAGTGGCTCGGTGGGTTTTAACCCCTAATTTATTAACAGTCAAGCAATTAGGCTTCATCTCCACAGAGTTCCTTTGGGTGGTTCTCTTGATGTTGCTTTTGTGTGTCCTTAAGCAGATTCCAACTTGCAGTGACCCTACACGACAGAGTGGAACCTCATCAAAAGGTTCCCTAGGTGTCACCTTTGCAAGAGCAGATTAATTAAAAGCGACTTGACAACACTTAACAAGCACTTCTGCTAACAAATGGAATTCAACAGTACTTGGCACGTGTAAACAAAGTGGCAGGGGGTGAATGTTGCCTCTATACACAGTTTGAGGCCACACTCTTGTTTCGTTGGGTTAAATACTGCCTGCCTGTGAGCTGTGTTGTCTTTGCTGCTGTTCATGAAGGTGGAATTCAAATGTCATCTGCAATTCATTCAATTACCTTTGCAAAACATTTTAAGATGCCAAAAATGCTAGGCCCTCTAATCTTTCTCTGAGCACTGTGAACAGGAAACAAAACAAAACGGAAGGTCCTCCTAAGCCTATAGCCCAGAAGCAGTGACTTACATATATACACACTTACCAGCACTGTGGTAGACACTTTACTGCAGCTCAGCCTAACTGTGGAAGGTTCCTAGGGGGTCAATGAGGCTACGAGAGTCTTCTGAAGAGTCAGCTTCTGGGCGGGGACATGATCTCACCTGCTGCAGACCTGACCACTCTTGCCTACCTTCCTCCCGCCTTTCCAGCCCCTTCTCCACCCCACGTCCTCCCCTCCATCCTGGTCGGCCAGGTCCCAGGCTTCTCTCTAAGCTTACCTGCTGCTCACTGAGCTTCCTCTGGATCTCTTCGGAGTTGCAGGAATCGTAGACAATAGGCTTGGCTAGCTCCGACTCAATGTGGGCGAGCCACGTCCTCAGACTGCTCATGTTCTTGTCCAGCTGCTGCACGGCCACCAGGGTCTCCTTGAGCTTCTTCACCCTGTGGGGGGAGAGGACAGCACGCTCAGCTCCAGCAAGACGCCTCCCTCATGCTCCCCTCACGGCTGCTGCCCTCGGTGGTGCGAACTCAGCACTGAAGCTGTGTGAGTGGAGGAAAGTTACATCACCTCCCTGTGCCTCTACTGTCTCATCTATAAAATGGGGATAAATACAGTAAGAGAACTTATGAGACATAAGTGTGATGAATCATGGAGACATAGCTCCCAGTACCTAGGAAACAGTCAATAAAAACACGACCTATTATTGTGATTACCAAATAATAGAAAAATGATCGAAATCTCCTGTTGTCACAAGAGAATTATTATTTTTACCAATAACAATAAATATATGTCTTATAACGACTTATTTGAAACTAAAAAAAAAAAGATATTTTAAATTTTTCAATAGATTCTCCTCAAGTACATTACATCTCTGCAGTTCTGATGGCGACCAAATATAATTTCTGCTCAGGGTGATGGATTTCAGCAGCCTTGTGATAGAAGCTCACTTAGAGTAAGAAAGGACATTAAAACAAAAGCTATCAGTGCACTATCACATGCACTGGTCACAGTGAAGGTAACTGAGCACTGCACAGTAGATGGAAGATGGATGGAAATACAGATACTGATACATACGTATAATCGTTCATTAGGAATACAGTGCCCGGGTCCTGAAGACATCAACTTAGACATAGTCTGCATAGAAGTAAAGCCCAGTGAGCAGATGATTTAATTCTGAGAATGTGTAGATTAAGAAGAGTGAATTCCAATCTCCATAATAGTCTATGTGTTTCCTATTACCAAAGGGGCCCTTTAGAGTCGTAAGAGAAGATCTTCACCCTGAAACCTACAGCGTCCCTTTTCAGCAGGCAGAAGCTAAGAGAATACGCCATCCCCTTTTCCTTATGAATCAGGGTGAAGCCTCTCTCAGGGAGGAGTGATAGGGAATGGCAAAGGACACACTGACAAAGGAGATTAATCAGAACTGGCTTTGACAAGCACTGTGGCAATTGGACAATTAAAACAGACATTCAGAGGGCGGGGGAAGAAGAACAAACTGGGGAGGAGGGTAGAGAAAACAGTGCAACAGTGAATGAATGAAAACCCAAAATCTCTGTAAATGTTCATTAAAACTAATAAAATTTAATAATAATAAAAAAAGTGAATTTCCATACACTGGTAAAGAAGGAAGACTCACAATAAAAATAATCAGAAGGGAAAGAATAAAATAATATCTTTAAAATGACTTAGAGGAGTCTCTTGTTGTTTTTCTGTCAAGTCAGAAGTGACTCATAGTTGACCTTCCAAGGGGGTTACCGAGGCACTTAATCACATGGGAGGAGACTGCTTGTCTGTCCTTCTCCCACGGAGCAACTGGTGGGATTGAAACTATTCACTTTTGGAATTGCAGTGCAGTTTCTGACCACTAGACTACCCAGGCTCCCTGTAGAAGCTGTACAGAGTCGAAAAGGGAGGTGGAGAGTCAGGAAGGTGTAGCTAGAACTAAAGGCAGATGATGGTTTCCAGGATGTTGTGCTGGTTGGAAGTATGATCTGAAGATCACTTGTACCCGATTCACCTGATTGTCCCTCATAAATGCTGATTCCTGTTCTAATGTGGTGTTCAGGAGGCCATATGTGGTTTATAAGGGTGCATTCCTGGTCACTGTATCAGAACAGGAATCCGCATTTGTAAGGGACAATCAGGTGAATCGGATACAAATAATCTTCATGGAATACTTTCAATCTTAGAAGGCCTAGTCTATAGTATAAAGAGACTGACAAATACAGTCAGAAATGTTCAATCTGAAGAGGATAAAATTGATGAATGGACTTTCTAAAGATTACATCTCTGCTCATCAAAAACTTTTCCCAACAGGGTGAAAAGAAAGCCTACCAACTGGGAACAAGCATTTGGCAATAACATCTCAGACAAGAGTCTCATTAAAAAGTTTACAGAATACTCCTGGCCTCTAGAAGAAAAAGACTGATAGCCCAATTACAAAATGGACCAAAGACATGAAAAGACTTTTCTCAGAGGAAGACACTTGGATGGCCAACAGACATATGAAGAAATGCTCAAAATCACTGGCAATTAGACAGATGTAACTCAAAACCACGATGAAGTACCATTTCATTCCAGTAGCAGTGGCAAAGTTTAGTAGGGCAGCAAGCAATAAATGTTGGAGAGGATGTGGAGAGGTGGAAACTCTCATACACTGTTGGTGGGATTGAAAATGGTACAAACACATTGGAAGAAAGTTTGGCATTTCTTCAAAAAGCTGAACATAGAAAGTCTGTGTGACCCAGCTATTCCTCGACAAGGAATGTACCCCAAAGAAATTAGAACTGAGACACAAACCAATGTTCATAGCAGGTTATTAACCATTGCAAGAATGTGGAAACAGCCCCAATGCCCAATCACAACTGAATGGAATGAGAAATTATAATACATTAACAGTGGTATACTATGCAGCACTCAGGAACATCAATTTCAAAAAATACTACATAACTTGTGAGAGACTGGAGAACATTATGCTGAGTGAACTAACTCAGTCTTATAAGAACAAATAATGCATAAGACCATTACTGTAAAAATAGAACGATAACTAGTAAAACATATATGAGAACTCAAGGGAGAAGAATAGGAGTGGAGAGGTGGGGATGGGTGGGGGCGAAACCTCAGGGTGCACAGTTTGGTAGGTGGAGGGAGGAGGGGAAGGATGTGGGAATGATCCAGGTAAAAAGACGGGGTGAAATGGGCAAGGTTCAATGGTGATTCATTTTATAAAACATAATGTATGAGGCTGATTATATGAAATACAATATTAATGAAGAATAGTGAGAAACACAATATATATAAACTTTGTAAGCAAACCAATATAAGATTAAAAAAAAAAGAGAACAAAGGAATATACAATTAGCCATTATATGTATAACAACAATCTGGAATAAGGGGCGCATTACAAGGTAGGTTATGGAGGGAAGAAAAAGTTCAACAACAACAATAAATATTAAATATTTTTAAAAAATCTAACAAACAAACAAAAACTCCAGATGAGAACCTAATTGGATCCTACTGAACCAGAACCTCTGGGAATGTGGCCAGGGCATTTGCAGCTTTCAAATCACTGAGAAAGCTTTGAGCCTTTTCTTTCCCTAAACCCCAAACCCACCATCTTCAAGTTGCTTGCTATTTTCACTGTGCTCCTCCAGTTTTCTGATGTGGTAAATCTTTATAGACGACTCTTCATGTCTCCCACAGAGCAGCTGGTGGATTCAAGCCTTTGACTTCTATACAATATCCCAACACATTAAACACCGCCCGATCAGAGCGGCTTTTCTTATACTAAGATCAAAGCAAACCCACTGTTGTCAAATTGATTCCCACTCAACCTGACCCTCCCTCCTTCGGGTCTCTAAGACTGTTGAATCTTTAAGGCGGGAGACGGCCCATTTTGCTCCCACAGACCAACTGGGGATTCAAACCACTGAACTTTGGTTAACAGTCTGACATATTAAACACAAAACCATCAGAAATCTTTTTCTTGCACTAAACCCCAAATCAAACCCGTTGCTGTAGAGCCAATTCCTGCTTATGGTGACCCACCATTGGGTGTCCAAGGCTGATAACATTTATGGGAAGAGAATTCCCCATAGTTCTCCAGCAGACTGCCTGGTGGATTCGAACTACTGGCCTTTTAGTTAGCAGTGTCACTATACTATCACATTTTCTTGCACCCTTGTAAGATCAACTGAGAAACATATGTGCCTATTCTGACTTATCTACAGCTTTGACATTAAGACATGTAAGAATGTTTGTAACCTGGCAAAGTCTCTGTACTCAAAAGCAGGAATCTCGGTAAGAAATTCTCAAAGACAGACAAATACTGTATAAGACCATTATTGTAGAGCGAGTACGAGGATCCAAAGAGGGGAGAGGGATGCTTAATCATAGGGTCACATAATTTGATGAGTGGAGGGAGGGGTGGGTGTAGGAAAGGGGAAAGATACAGAGGGGAAACAATGTATACGGACTTTGTAAGTAAACTAGTATTAAAAAAATCCCCAAAGACTGACATCTTCACTTAAAGAGTCATTAAATATCTCTGAACTCTGAACACTTTCAGTTATTAAAGAGCGATTCTCAAGCTGGGATTGTTTTACAACCACCTGGAGCCACTTTCAAAACCATCTGCCAGTCACACTTGTTTGGAGCCCTGAATCAATTCCAAGTAACAGTGACTCTGTAGGTTACAGATCACAGCTGTCCCATGGCGATTTCTTGACTGTAATCTTTTAGGAAGTTGATCAGTAATTAGTATCATCTTTTTCCCCCCTGAGATAGTTCTCTGATTAAGAGCCACTGATCTAAAGAAAACATCTCACCATCAAAGTATTTATTAAAATGTCCTCATTGTTGTTGACTGTCTATGAGTCGAGCATGACTCAGCGACCCTATGAACAAAAAGTTTGAAGTCTCTCTACAACTATTGACACTTATCAAAATTCAAAGGGTTTCTGGAGGCATGTTGTTTAGGAAGTAGATGCCACTCTTGCTTCAAAAAAATGTTACTAGTTGTTTAAAATGAAAAGTTCTTAACACTTCTATTTTAATTTTTTAAAATCAATATTTTAATTGTGCTATTTTAATTTTAAGATGTTAATATTCTTCCCTCAAATGAAAGTCTAGTCAAAGGAGGACATAACAATATTTTTCTTTTTGTCATGAAAAAGCTTTTAAATGGATTATTTCTATGGTCAGCTATTACTAATAATACCAATAATGGATTGCTGTTGTTGTTGTTATGTGCTGTCTAATCACCTATGACTCAGAGTGACCCTAAGTATAGCAGCTCTGAAGCCTGCTCTGTCTTGAACCAGTCTGACTCCAAGACACCCAACCCCACTGCCCCGGTTACTATATCAATCCATTTCATCTGGGGTCTTCCTCTCCTACATCGTCCCTCCACCCTTCCAAGAACAGTATCCTTCTTCAAGGA